TCAAAAAATCTTTAGCCTTGGGTAGACCAGCCTTGAACTTGAACTTGTGACTGGAACAATCTTTAAGCTTGTAGGAACCTTCCTTCTTTGCCCCAACGAGGTGAAAGCAGTATGAGTCTGGGTTGTTACTTTGATAGATTTGGTGGAATCGACTCTCATTGCACCATGCTGTCTTTTGGCAGGAACAGATGCTTTGACCAAGCTCTACATCATTGAACTTGCAGAGATGTTTGTACCACTTGATGAAGTTGCAACCTTCTTGCGACCTTTTGTGGTGGTGATGCTGTTGTCTGTCATGACTGCGATGTCCTTAGTGGTATTCTTACTCTTCGTCTGAATCTTGTTGGAAGTTATAGAATCTGATGATGAATTTGTTAAGGATTTGATGTAGGAGAAAGAGATGAGAGGCAAAAGATGTCCCACTGGGCGTGTCAGACCTTTGTACACACAAATTTTGTAGTCTGCAAATAAAGAACAAAATATGGGAGCAAATAGTAATTTATTGATTTATGAAAATTGAGTACAATCCTCAGAGATATTCTTTACAAAAGAAAGAACTTGTCTTCTGATTCGATCTCCTTTGTTGGTTGAATCCAAGGGCTGTTGGAGCTTGATCTTGAATCGGGTTGTTGACAATCTTCTTCAAGTATTTGTAGTTGAAGAAGATCGCTGTTGATTTCTGATCGAGGGCTGACGAAATTTGATCTCGAACAGTGTTATTTGATGATTCTTTGAACTTGTTGAATCACAGGGAAAAGAATGGCACAATTTTGATGTGCTTGTTGTCCTTTGTTGAATATGAGGAAGAACGACACGGCTTTAGATTGGATGTGCATGTTGTTCTTCATCTTCAGAGAATTTGTGGAAGAACGGCACGACTTTGGTTGTGCTTGTTGTTGATCACTGTTGAATTTTGATGAAGAACAACATGATTTGATGTGCTTGTTATTGATCACCGTGAAATTTTGATGAAGAACGACACGATTTGATGTGCTTGTTGTTCTTCGCCTTCAGGTTTGGATATTGGGGATGAATGTCGGCAGAGCTTCTGTATTTACTATGGAATTCTGAATCTCTGGATCCCTATGGATTTCTAGATTTCTGAGTTTCTGAAATTTTGGACCCCCCTGGATTTTTGAATTCTGAATTTGTGTCTCTGAATTTTTGAACCCTCTGGATTTCTGAGTCTCTGAATTTCTGAACTTCTGAATTCTGAATTGTGTTTAAATTTCTGAGTCTTTTGGTTTATAAACTTTTGAATTTCTGAATTTGTGTCTGAATTTCTAAATTTGTGTTTGAATTTCTGAGTTTCTGGATTTCTGGACTCTGAATTTGTGTCCCCCTTCCTTTTTCCTTCAGGCCTCTATTTATAAGCTTCTTGGATCCATAAGATGATGACACGTGTTATCTTTTGATAAGGATAAAATAATAACTGGGCCGGACCGGTTATATAATGATAATTATCCTTAAAAATAATTATTCCAAATATATTTTATTAGGAATAATTATCTTTTTATTTAACCATCTGGGTTGGGCTAATTAAATAATTTAAGTGGACCAAGTTTGAGCCAATTAAATAACTTAATTAAACATTAGGCCCATATTTAATGGGTCCATTTGTCAAAACCAAAGCTCATTAAAATTTTAGTGTCTACACCAACTCGCTGAACCATCCTCTGTTCTCATTGGTCTGTCGGCAGCTCCTTTGGAGAAAGAAAAAGGGTTAAAAGAGAAAAGAGAAAATGAGCGTAGGGGCATTTTTGGAAAAGTAAAAGGGTAAAATAGGCATTATATCAATTGAGGAGTGTTTTCGCATAAATTGAAAAGAATAGGGGTGTTTTTTGAACATCTTTTTAAATAGAGGGTAAAAGAGTTATGAAAGGTATACTTTAGGGGTGTTTTTTGTACTTACCCTGAAAAGTATTTTAGTTGTGAAAAGTACTATATATAATGTCTTATCATATGTCTAACATGCTTTTTACTAACTATAATTTTTTAAAAGTTCTACTAATAAAAGCATTTTTTTCAATCTAACAACAATGCCAAACATGCCCTAACAATCTCATTTGGATACTTCTTTAGTTTAATTAATTCAATGCTAATTCCATCTATGAAAGATTTTTTTTAAAAAGAAATCCTGAAAAACTTAGGTGCGGTATGAAAACTCAATCAATACTTAGTTCTGAACAAATTAAGTGCTTATTCAATTAAGTGTGTTTGATAATTGAATTTGAATATCACTTAAAATGGTAAGCACCACTGAAAATTGGGTAAAATTTTAAGTGATACAGACATCACTTATAATGGAATGTTGAATGCTGAAAATTAAAAAAAAAAATTCAAAGAATAAATACTAAAAATTTTAAGAGTTAAATTTTAAGTACAAAAATTTTAAGTGGCCTAAAAATTTTAAGAGTTAAATTTTAAATACATAAATCTTTAAGTAGCAAAATTTTTAGTGTTTAATTTTCAATTTTATCAATCAGCACATTCGTAGTCACGACACTAATCTCATATCCAAGTTAGTTTTCATTGTCTTATTCATCAATCTTAATATTATAGTTATAAAGTAATGATAGAATTCCACTTCTTTTTTTTTTTTTTTTCCAAACATGTTCTGCGGAGGAATCTTGAATATTCTCTTAGTATAATTTGTAGACAATCATCTAATTCATGGAAAATTGAAAGATGATCAATTGATGAGTCAGAAAAGTTTGTTTGAAACTGACACCTCAACAAAAAACATACAATAATAATGAATTAGAGAAACTAATCGCGTTTTGCACATGCTAATTAATTTATCAATCAAAAAGTCATCATGACCTACCACATTCTTCCCTTTCTTCCCACTTTCTTTCGACTCAAAAATATTTTGTTTAATTTATTTTTGTTTTATTTGTGGGAAGCAGCCATCAAGTTAGGGTTAGGTGTTTGAAAAATATTTGACCCAGCTGGTTTGGTTTATGCCGTTGGTATCTGCACTCCATTAAAAAATGATCTAGGGGACCCAGACATAATTGATTGATACATAGGTGATAACTGGACACGAAAAAAAACTGTCATATGATTTTGTAAAATCTACATGTTTAAAGCTTGTTGTTAAATCGAGAGCTAAAATGACACTCTCGATCCAACAGTTGATTGAGAACGCAAAGTATTTATAGCATAACATGTAATATAATCGTCATTACACTTTCTCATCCGATTTACTGTTATGTAATATTGATATATTCAGGGGCATACCCTAATTTTTATTTTTATTTTTTTTCTTTCCAATTTTATTTATTCCACTATGAAAACTGATATTTTATAAATAAATTTTAGTTGGCCCCCCAAATATTTTCAAATTCATTGGTCCTAAAAATAGTGAGTTTTAAATAAATAATTTATTATTTCTTGAAATCATAGAAATTTTTAGTTGATTTTTTTTTTAGCTTTACTTTTTGAAGTCTAAAATCTTGTTAAACAAAAATATCAGTTCGTAGTTTTTATTGTAATATGTAAATACTCCATTTACATATTTATATAAACACATGTATAATATTTTTTTTCCTTTAATGACAGTAGTATAACCTTGTTAGATATTGTTGTTAGATTATGTTTACAAAACAACTATCTACAACCATAGGTTAATCTCTTTTGGCGAGTTTTGAGAGCATTAGGAAAACTTAAACTTAAACTTTATGGTACCAAGATGATAAAAATGCCAAAAATATTTTTTAATTGATACCATATATGTTAATATTTTAGTTTTCAATTAATGTTAAATGACAAATTCTATAGCTACGGCTTGTATAAATTATTAAAGTACTCTTTATTTGCTCTTAATAATCATATTTTGTTAAATTTTTTTGTTCTTTTGTTTAATTAAAATTAAATGATACATTTTTTTTTTTTTTAATCTTTCATTAATATATGAATCAAAGTACTTTTTTTTCTCTTTGAAAATTGAATAAGTTACCAAAAAAAAAAAAAAAATTTGTTTTAACAATATTTTCTTCTACTACTTCTCTTTTTACATGTAGCTTATCATTTTATTTTATCTATAATTTTCTAAAAATTCATTATTTGCATGCCGTAAAATATCTAAAATATGCCATATTAAGCTTTTCTCGACAATTTTATTGAGCACAATAAAAAGTTGGAGTCTTAATGAGTTTTAACTTTGCATCTGTTCTTAGGAATTTGGATTCTCCTTCCAATGCGCGGGGAAGAGTGGAGATTTATTTACTGCATGTAAATAATGAATATTTTATTCAAGATTTGAAAATTTAAAACATTTTGTATTATTAGCAAAATAATATTGCTAAACTCAAAAACATTTTGTATGTATTGAAACAAATTTATAAAGGGATATAGTTAAATGGTACTTCCTTGCCTTCTAATGCACAACAATTCACGTTTTCAAAGGAGCATGTGAATGTGTGTACATTTCTTTCTAGAAAAAGAAATAACCTAGAAAATCAAATCTATATATTTAGCATCTATCCAAGAACCAAGAAGGCCTTATTTAGTTAAACTTTTTATCTCAAGATTATCCCTTACTTTTCTTATCAAAAACATTCAATTCAAAGGTTGAGGTGCTCCTAATCTTCAAGAGGTCTGTCGCAGTAGAGTCTTTCAGCGGCATGTTTCGGTCCTCTTTTCCATTACTTAGAAAAAGTGAGCCACTGTTCAAGTACAAGATACTATCATTACCACTTGGACAATTAGACATCCAACCTGTAATCACGACCTAATTACAAGAACAGAATTCTACCAATTGAGCTATATCCCCCAAACCAAGCGGCGCATGCATGAAGGAGCTCTATCCAAACCAAGGCTAAAATATTAGTGCATACCTTTAAAAAAAAAAACCAAGAAAAAAGAAAAAAAAAAAAATGAAAAAGAAAAAGAAAAAAGAAAAAAGCTACAACATTATTGCATACCCAAAATAGATGTGGATTAGCTTTATTCCCGGATCTCATAGCCAAATAAATCTCACAAAGAATGGTTATTATCAACAATAAACAGCTACTATCTCCCACAAAACAGAGTAAAACCACCCAATATCCCTCTCACCATCTAAAACTAACTGCAAATAAATATGTTTTTGATAAGCAAAACAACTGTAAATAATATGTATATATCCAAATATATTTTCACTTGATCTCCCCAACCCATCATGTAAAATCTTCAACCCTGTTAATGTAAAATAAACTCCTCCCCTCTCCCCTCACATCCTCCAATCCTTTCTTGACCTCTTCTCTCGACCCCTATTCGACTCTCTGTCTATCACCATGAGTCTCAATTGCTTGACATGCCAAAGCCTGCAAAGGGTAGACTCAGAGAGAGATTGCAGCAAGAATTACCAACAAGACAAGTCGAATTTAAGTCTGTGTTGGTCGAAGGTTGAGAGAAGCTGGTCCGGCAACTTGGGGACCCCAAGGCCTTATAACAAGATGAGGAATGAGTCCTCCGGCTTTGTGGGGACGACGAAGAGGGTCAAGAAGGGCCATCACCGCGTGCATACTAGCGCGTCTCTGCAGTTTGAGAGCAGCACGCCGAGGCTGGTGAGGAGCTGTGGGATGAGAAGGGATTGGAGCTTTGAGGATTTGATGCAGAGAAGGGATGGGGAAGTATAAGAACTTAAAAAGTGGGAGAGAGGATATATATGTTGAGACAATGCCATTTGCTTACATTTTTTTTTTTGATTTTCTTGTGTTGTCCCAAAATGAATTTACAGATGTATATTTTGGTTGAAGTTTGATCCATGGTTTCTGATTGTAAACATGGATTATATATATATACATGCCTTCCTTGTGTAAGTATGTATATGGATTCCTCATGCCATTAATCATGCATTCACTTCCTTTGACATAGTTTTCATGTTTGATAGTTTCTTTTTTGTAATGATGGTGTCAAGTTAGAGTTCTTTGCTATGCCTAATTGTCTAGTATTTATTGATTATCTAGAGAGAATATATTTATTATATTCCATGGTCAATAGAACTATATATACTATCGTAAAGTTTTTGTATTTTTTTTTTTTTAAAGTTAAGTATTCAAGTAGCTAGATAGAGATTTAACAAATTGTCTAATACGGAGGTCGGATTCCTCGGATAAGGATCCTCTCCAGTGCAGGAGAGGTCCTGCACAGAATATAGTAATTGAAATTGTATCATTACTAGTAGATCCTATTTATCAATACAATTTCAACCATTGAATTCTGTGTAGAACCTCTTCAGCTTTGGAGAAGATCCTTGTCCCGACTCTTCACCTTCTTTTTGAAAAATGAGAGACTGGTAACAAAGTTAGTTATTTATATGGACAGTGTAAAATGTTGGGTAGCTAAAAAAATTCAATGTTGTAAAATTGACTAAATTATGAAGTTACACTTTTGGCCTGCCAATGCCAACCATGTGAAATATGCATTTTTAATGGTTTAATTTCGAATCCGAAGTCCAAATAATGAATTGCTTTTTGCTTCACCTAGCTACAAAAAAACAAAAAAATAAATATATAATTTCAGAATTTTAAGGCAAGTTGTCAAGTTGTGAAGACACATCATAATCGTATTTAAGTTTATATCCAAAAAATTGTTACTCTCAAAATGTTTTGTGGTCTTTTTTTTTTTTTTTTTTTTTTTTTTTTTTTTTTGTGGTTATTGAAATATTTAATGTGAAAAATACGATTGGAGAGGTTAATGGGCTTGATAGTGAGTACTCAAAAGTGGGAGATGAAATGCCCTTTTCTCTTTGTATCGAGATTTGTTTATGTACTTGAATTTTGTTCACATATGAATTGCTGGACAAGATTGTATATGTTCAATAAATATCATTCTCCATGAAAAAGACAAATGTTTTCTAATCTTTTCCTCAGATTCCTTTTTAGGCTTTGTTATGATAAAATAAAATGAATAAATAAAAATGATGTCTGCGATGGATTAGTCCTAGCCCTAGTTTAAGGCATGGGCTTGTTCTGTTCAAAATCTAAATGGTGCCCCTTAAATGCTTTGATATGGTTCATAATGAGAAATCAATTTGTAAGTTAAATCACATTGTTATTCTGGCATACGCATGTTGCTAAATGATTCAGTTCAGCCAAATCATCTCAATAATGTACTTTAGTACTTATGTGCTTGCACACCAACACCGTCACAATATATGTATATATTCGATGATAGTGGTGTCAAACTTCTTAGAATATCTTATAATTTATCACCGAACATTTGCAGTCCTCTTATCCTACATGCACCGACCCTGAAGGTGGTCTCAAAAGAATTCAAACTCTCACCTTAGAAGATGTGATGTGAGATAAGGGCCTTTTTTATATGTAACATTAATATAATTAAAATTAATTACTTCCTACTTCATTTTCTCATTTGATTTCATAATTTTTATCACCACCTTGTCGTTCCAAACTTAAACACGTGTCAACTATATCTTTAAATAAAGTGTCTTCTGTCACAGCGGGGTGGTGGCGCAGTTGGCTAGCGCGTAGGTCTCATAGCTTCTGAGTTATCCTGAGGTCGAGAGTTCGAGCCTCTCTCACCCCATTCCCACCTTTTCCTTTTTCTTTTATGGAATATTTTGCAACAGAATTGTCCATTATCCATACTCCATAACACAACTCTCCTACTTTTTTTGCAAGGAAATTTAAATAACAATACAAAACAGGAGCATAACTCAACCATTTTATTTTTAATTAAAATTTTTTTTTTAAATTTTCAAATTTCTTCATCTAAATTGTTCTAATTATGATTTATTTTAAAACACATGATTTCAAGAATAAAGGGTAAAAAGGGCAAACACAGTGCGTAAAGCTTCTCCCGTCATGCTTACATTCGGAGAGGCTATTTCTGAATATTCTGTTTTGAGAAAAATACATCAAAACTTTAAAAAGACAAGTTCCCTAATATATTTTCTTCACAATTAACATTCCTTTGGGCTTTAGTCCTAGTAGTTAACAGCCTCTGTGTCTTCTCCAAAAATTTCATGAATATTCTGTTTTGAGAAAAATACATCAAAACTTTAAAAAGACAAGTTCCCTAATATATTTTCTTCACAATTAACATTCCTTTGGGCTTTAGTCCTAGTAGTTAACAGCCTCTGTGTCTTCTCCAAAAATTTCATTGTTTGATCTAGAAACCGGAAAAGGTTTTAAGCATGGGCTTGTTGTGGGAAACTAAATGATTAAACCAGAAGTGGGCCTGGGAAACTAATAGTGGGTGGTCTGGGCTGGCCTAATTACCCTTCAATGCTTTCATATGGTTCATAATGAGAATTTGCTTCCCAATCTTGTTCTTCTATTTATTTATTTATTTATTTTTGACAATCTAAAGCAGTCAAATACACAATATGCTCGGGAAAGGATTCAAGTTCAACATCCATATACACATGGCTTTTGGGGAGTATTACCACTACACTGGCAACCTAGTTGTCATACTTATGAACATGGCTAACCCGCGACTAGGAAAATCTCCGAAGCCCGACTTTGATATCGAAAATAATAGCTCGAATATCCACCGGACATTGCTTCTCGTTCAACATTGCATTGCATTGCACACTACCAAAGAGTCCAATTTGAATAAAACATTACCGAGAGCCCACCCCATTGCATTTCTGAAGCAAACAACTTCGGCAGAGGTGACCCATGCATACCTAAACTTTCGTCACCAAAGGATATTAGAGGGCCAACAAGGTCAAGATCACAAAATTACCAAAAACAGCTTAGTGAGTAACACCTTACACTCATTCCACTTATCATCCATATTATTAAAAGTCTACTTCGGAAAGTGGACATTTAAAATGGAACAGAGATAGTAGAGAATTTCTACTCTTCCATATATACCAACAACATGAAGCCGCCAAGCCCACTGCGATCTGACCTCCATTCACTTCTGACCAAAACTACCAACTATACAATTCCACCATTCCAAGAAGGAATGCCGACAACTTGTTGCAAAATCCAATCTGAGAAGCAACATTTTCCAAACTGAGACCGAATGAGAGCATTGAAACAGAAGGTACTCAATTGATTCAACTTCCAAACCACATCGGGGGCAAGCAACCTCTTGCAATAATCCACGCCTTTGGAGATTCGCATCAACAGGCAAAGCATGCAAAGGAAAATTTTGATTTTAACCTTAGTTTTGCACTTCCAAATGCTTCGCCAAATCGCAGATAAACCAACCATCAAGCTAGAACAAGCAGGAGAATGCTTAATCCTTTTCTTCGCCAAATTATGCGTCAGGTGATCTGCCGATTTTACTGTGAAAATCCCATAGCTCGCAAATAGGGTCTTCAATACCTTACTCATGTTAAGTTTTAATGCAAGAAAAACTCATTTGCCTTTCCTTTTATTCTTTAAATAATGAAGAATTTAATGACTAATAAGAATATTATCCTTAATCTGATGCCTTGAAACAAAAGCGCTTTGGGATTACCCACAATATTAAGCTAAAATAGGCTTTAAACGATTTGGTAACACCTTTGCTAAAATTTTATAAGATACATTACATGACGATACTGAGATATTTGGGTAAGAACTACTTTAGGGACCGTGACCAAGTTATACGGTTCATACCATTTAACATAAGACCAGAGTGCATAAAACTTGTAATTGCCCCTAACAACTATCGGGTATAATTAATTCCCTCTTACCCACTCAATGGTCGACTATTGTTGAGAGTTAAATTCCTTTTTTATCATACACAGCGAAAGAATCATCACATCACATCAACACAAACATATATAGAGATAACAATCACACACATCCACGCACAACACAACATTTTACATAGTTCACCTAACTATAGGGTTATGTCCATGGGAGGGAGAGATTTCACTATTATAAATTAAGGGAGAGAATATATAACCACACGTCAAAACTTCACTCATCCACTCATAATTTCTTTTGAGGCTACATGTATACACACGGGAATTACATATAATCTAACCATTCCTCATAACATTCACCTTTAAACCTCTTACATATTTTTTCTCTCTTATCTCTCTAAATCCCTCACACCCATATCTATTTATAGAGTTTTAAAACCCAATTCCTTATTTGACAAGTATTCCCCAACTTGGATACAAGGAGTTACCATATCAATCTCAACTTTAAAATAGAAACTTAATGGGACACAATTTCCTTCATAAATTTTAGCCTTCCAAAATGGAAAAAGGAAAATAATTTTCTGTAGACAAATTTTGAGCCACAAACCCAACAATCTCCACCTTGGCTCAAAATTCAATCTTCACGTTCTTTTATCTAGCTCCACTTCGAATAAGGATCTCTTCATAACTCCACCTCAAATAAAGCACTATGATGAACTTGAGAAATACTCTAACAATCTCCACATTTTCTCAAATTCATCATTCTTCATTTTTCTTCTATCCCTCTATCCATCCCATTGGTGTTCAATTGCTTACGCATTGTTACCCACCAATCTTCAAACTCATCTTCATCAATTGTTTTTCTGGCTCAAAGCAATAAACCTCTCATCTTCACTTTTCATATCACCTTTTGCTCTTTATAGGGCTTAAAGCAAACCCTTTCATTCTTCACACCCTTTGCCCCCTCTTGAGAACTAGCATTTACTCTTAGCTTGTCCCCAAAACTTGTTCCTCTTGGGCTTCACCTCTATCACCCTTGCCCCATCTTGAAAATGAGCATCATATGGTTTGTTCCAAGACTTGTTCCTTATGGGCTTCACACTATCAACATACCTTGTATCATCATCAACTCTTAATTGAATCTCCATAGCACTTCATGATCATCCTCTGCTCTGAAAAACTTCGCATCAATTTTTTGCACTGATCTTCAAG